TCAAAGCATTCAGAGTTGTGCGTGCACAGAGTTTCTGCATCCAACGTCTGTGTTGTATAGAGTTTCCCGGTCTTTTTGGCAACTCTAAAGAGTTTTGAATTGGCATCCATATCCTGTCCTAGCAAGCTGAATCTTATTAGGCTCTGGTGCTGCGAAGAGACAGATTCCCTGAAATGAGAGTCGGCGGCAATGTCCCCAAGATAGGTACCAGGATTCTTTCCTTCTTCCACGTAGTAGGTGAGGTCTACACACAGACATCTTTGTAGAACGGAGAATAGAAGCAATAAATAGAATTGTAACTTCATGATTGGCACATGTCTTTCAAGAAAATTAGATGTAAATTGGGTTTAATCCTCACAAAAGGTTTCAAGGTGTAGAAAAGGCTGAAAGAGGAAAAAGAAGAAAAGTAAGTAAAATGTATTGATTGAGATTTGTTTTATAGTTTCACGTTTAACACTTCTATAATCCCAATGTTAATGAAATGACAAGGCAGAAATGACTTCTTTCAATCTGTATATAAATACTAGCTCAAGTACCCATTTACACTGGGTAAAATATTGTAGTGAACAAAACAAGATCTAGATTTAAAATTCAAATGCAAAGCAATGACTCATTGATTTTGTTAGAAATTAAAAAGACTCGAATTTAAAAACGTTGCTTAACACACGCAAAAGCGAATCCAAAACAAAATTCGCGAAATTTCACGCCTTGATGCGAAATGTTTTTCGTCCAATAGAAAACTAGGAAACATTTAAAAACAAAATTCAAATAATCTTCAATTCTCAGAAACAAAATTCTTTTACGGACCTTTTCGCGAGCCGACGCGAGTTTTGTTTATCGTTCAATGGAAAGGCCGGGATCATACCCGGAAGTGACTTCCCAAATGACTTTTTCAAGCCCCACAAACAAAATAAGATTGGCAAGTTCGCCTGTCACCAGAGAGAAGGAGACGAGCGTATTAACGTCCCTTGACAAAAGTCAAGCGATCGTTATTATTATCTCTACCTTTTTCCCTCACCTCTTTTATACTTGATAAACGAACGGAACATTTTAAGACTGAGCGATTACTTCAAAGACATTCCTATCCTACGATAACGCTCATGCATACATACATCCACACATACGTTCATGCTTTCGTACACATAAACTCATTCTTTCAAGAACTACTACGAACATTTTGACGACCTTGTATCAACCAAAATACATTAATTTTATTTGTAAAGACCTTAATTGATTTATATGTATATAAATTTGTTGTTTCACTTTACAATTTGATTTTCTTGTTTTATACTCATCTTTTGGTCGGCTATCTAACTAACAAGGCCAAATCAAACTAATCTGTTTCAACGCTCATACACTACACTATTACTGATACCCCACTATAATATCAAGACTTGAACAGTAGTTGGTTCTTAGGGGTGGACAATAGTTCTTATTAGCTGGTAAATGTTGAAACTATGGTAAATTAGCTTAAATCAGTTTAAGCCTGTTATGGGCCAAAGGTTAACCAAAGCATAAAAATAGTTGTTCTTAACAGAAATAAAGGGTGTTTCAATAACTTGGACCGATTTTAAATGTGAATTAAGTTTAAGCGTCTAATGATTTTTTTTTCTTTTTCTTTCAGATTTAACAACTTAAGTCTTTGGCAATTTCAACCATGGAAAGACTAACAATCAAACAACGTGTTAAAGTTATTGAAGCCTATTTACGAAAATGGACGTTCAAACAAAAATGCATTTTGCGCACTTTGCGATTTTTTGGGTCAATATAATCGACCAACCGAGAGTGCAATTGACGTAACGTTGTTGTGGAGAGGTTCCGTTCCTGCGCGCGATGGCGAATAGAGGTGTGTGGATTTTCGTCCACATTCTCTTGCACTGCAGCAATGTTTTCAACTGAACGGCGTAAACGAGCACACAATGATGTTTTCAAATCTGCCACCGACCCAGTTTGTTTGAATTTACAAACAATTTTTCCAATTGCACTCTTGAAATTTTAACACGTTGTTTGATTGTTAATCTTTCCATGGTTGAAATTGCCAAAGACTTAAATTGTTAAATCTGAAAGAGAAAGAAACATCATTAAACTTTTAAAGTTAATTCACATTTAAAATCGGTCTAAGCTATTGGAACACCATTTAATTAATGAGACAACTAACTATAAAAGGCGGAGAATGCCATTCATGTTGGTCTACTGTTGATGACAGTGATAAAAGTGGGTCGCATTCGAGAATAAAAGATTGATTTCGAAACAAAACAAAATGTATTCTTTTTTAGAAAACCTTTCCTACCAAACATTTATAAGAATCAATATTTAAGCAATAACATAAAATATTTAGGAAAGTTTTTAAAATTCAAAAGATAAATCATTTTTCGTTGAAAAAAAGAAAATAATGACAAATGTTAGTTGATATTTACAAAATTTTAAATATGCCAAAGAAAATGAAGTTGTTCACATGGCATCAGATCGGGTGTCAAAATTCAGATATTTAGTGGCTTTATTGATTTGCTTGTGGTGAAAGTATTTTAAAATAAAAAGGCAGGGGACAAATGACGAGACAAAATAGTTGATACAACAAGAAGTTGAATTATGCAAACATCAGTCAAAAAAGCAATGCCGCGCATCGAAATTCACAGAGAAAAGAAAACTGACTTGACCCGTATGATAGCTATATATATATATATATATATATATATATATATATATATATATAATTACATGAATCATTCATACAAAAAAACACATTACTATATTTGTACAAAAACGCACAACCTTAAAATTTTAAATTCAAACTCAGCGTTGCGACCGCACGTTCCAAAACAATAACACATTTCTTATAGCATTTTTTCGGATTACATCTATATTTTCGTTGTCCTCTTATTACCGAGAAGTAAAAAACAAGAACAAATCTATTTCCATACCTGAGGATGTCTGTAGGAACAGACGAAAGCTTGTAAAAATTTAAAAAAAATTATCATTCTTATACAGGTTCGGGGTTAGTGTACCTTATTGAAATTGTTTGCGAAGATGTATTCTCGCCATTTAAATCATTAACCCCTACATTTTTTTTTTGTATGAATGATTCATGGAATTATAAATTGAACTGCACCTATAATCGAAATTAATATATATATATATATATATATATATATATATATATATATATATATATATATATATATATATATTAATAGTGTGACATGGGTCTCAAAATACAATGTCAATTATTATTGTCTTCATAATTCCTGTGCTTTTACTGTTGTCTCTTCTTAATAATATCTTTTTTTTCTTCTTCTCTTATTTTTTCTCCTTGCGTTTTAGTGACTTTATATATATATATATATATATTAACAGTATGGACATGGGTTTCAAAATACAATATCAAATGTTATCTTTTGTTTTCATAATTCCTGTGCTTTTACTTTTTTTTTTAAAGCAATTTGCCCCAAGCAAAGAGGAGTGCCACTAGCACGCAAAGGGGTTACAGAGAATGAGAGTAAGAGTAAAAAGTTGTGTTTGGGAAAAGGATAACGAGAAGGACAGGGACCAAAAGTCAAGGTGTAAGAAGATGTCGATTTACATTAAATTTGAATATTATAGCTATCAGGGAAGCAAGTGATAGGGAGGGTAGTTCCACTGACGGGAGGTGTGAGATAAGAAGCTGTTGGTGTAGAAGAGATGGCTACATTTAGTTGTTTCAACAGTGAAAGGGTGGTAGTAGCATGCTTAAAGTCATGCAGTTTGGGAACTAGTGAAAGTAGCTTGTCAAAACAGTTGCCATGAAAGTACTTTTACTGCTGTAAAAGTGACTTTAGTGATTGTGTGAAAACTGGTGTTTCAACATGATATAACCATAAGACCATTATATGGCCCACATATCCAACTTACAACTCCTGGTATTCCCAAGCATTCATCCATCCATATATTGATCAGGCTCAACATTGCTTGTTTAATACTTTTATTCTTTCTCACTCAGCCATCCCTTGCATTTCAGTGGCTTTATTGCCTTGTTTGGGGTGAAATGATTAAAAAAGACACAAGACAAAGAATAAGAGGCAAAATAGTTGATACACGTAGAAGTTGAATGATGCAAACATCAGTCAGAAAGTAATATTGTTCTTTAATTACATCATATTTAATGGTAGAAATACATCAAGCATATTAAAATGATTATAAAAATCTCAACATTTAAAATCCAGTCCTCAATAGAGTTTCCTTCTTTCTCAGTTGTGGTTTTCCAACTTTACAAAAGTGTCTTCATGTAATTTCAATCAGAGGTTACTGTCTATGCCCATGACTAGAATTCCTTATCATCCAGCTTAGTTACACTTGACCCTGAAAGTTTTTATTTATTTATACATTTTATTTCCTTTTCATAATTCTGGACAGTTGTGATTGATTGACTGATTTGTTTTTATGCCTTATCAACCTTCTCCAGATAATTTAAAGCCAAGAAAATATTTTTAAGATTTTAAGAATTTTTTGGAGATAATAATGATTTTTACTGATACAAATTCTACTAATTAACTCATATATGGTGGTTGAAGAGGTGGATTCATATCTTTCCCAAGGGCATGTAAGTGAACATAACAAGTCTAACTGGAACTTGACACTCCAATTTTTACAATTCTGAGCCATTATCCATTACAATAGCTGCACATCCAAGCATACAGTACTGGTGTTTCCACATAATATGGCTGAAAGCCAATTATACCACCCACAAATTCAGCTTACAGCTCCTGGTATTTTGAAGTGGTCACCAATCTAGGTACTGACTAAGCTAGATGCTGCTTAACTTTGACAATCATATGAGAACTGGTGTTTCAACATGATATGACCATAAGCTCATTATATTGCTCGCACATCCAGCTTACAACTCCTGGTATTCCCAAGTATTCATCCATTGATCAGGCTCAACATTGCTTAACTTCAAAGATCATACAAGAACTGGTATTTCCATATAATATGGCTGGAAGCCCATTATAACACCAGCGCATCTAGCCTACAGCACCTGGTATACTGAAATGCTCACCCATTTAGATACTGATCAGGCTTGATATTGCTTAACTTCAGTGATCATATGAGAACTGGTGTTTCAACATGATATGGTCAGATAGATGCCCATTATATGACCCACACATCCAGCTTACAACATCTGGTATTTCCAAGCAGTCACCTATCTATATACTGACCAAGCTCAATGTTGCTTAACTTTGGTGATTGTACAAGAACTGATGTTTCAACATAATATGGCCATAAGCTCTTCATTCATGTAACAATGTGTACATGCACATGCATTAATGGAGCCTATAATAAGATATTTCTTTCTGTTACAAATAAATAATATTCCTAGGGGTCTACTTACTGGTAAAAAAAAGATGAAAATTACAGACAAAAATAAAATTGCATTTAATGAATTGAAACTTAAAAAAAAATAAAAATTTTCTTGTGCTGTTCAAATTTAGATGGATTAAAATCGTTCAATGAAGGAAATGTTATGGAAGACCAAATTGGATATAATTTACCGTAAAAAATGTTGTTTCCTATTCATTGCTTTTCATTGATTTCCACTATTTCATTCTGAAAACAATAAATCTTTTTTACGGTTCTTTCTTCTTGCGACAAATACAGTCATAATATGATTGGTAGAACTTTCAATATTATCTGATTGCAAATAAACCTTTTTATATCTTGTTTAGTAGAGATTGGATGGATATATGGATGGTGTAATGGTTAGTAGTTCAGAATGAGAGCAATGAGCTGAGTTCAAATTCTGGTTGAGTTCATTATATTCACTTTTGTGTGAATGCCCTTGGGGAAAGTTTGAATTCATCTCTTCTGACCCAAACTATGGGTAAATAGTAGGACAGACTTGGTTCTATAGGTTTGGTTGACATAAAATAGCAAACAATTACTCATTTCCAAGCTCACCTGTCTACCAGGGTGGCTAGCAAATCCCTATAACAGACACCTGATCAACCCACAAGCATCCACCTATAGTTTACAATGCAACCAAGCTGAGCAGACTTTAGTTACAGATTCTGGGAGAGAATGCATAATCTCAACATGATCACTTTTTTTGAATAAACCCAACACACTCAAACCCTCGGACATGATGACTTTTGACTTTGTGCTATCACAACCATCAATGGCTTCTGAATTGTTCGGTCTACCCAATTTCACTCAAAAGGCTTGGGTTAACATGTGGTATGGTTTTTGGGTGCTTTTTATAGGTGCCATGCACTGGGATCACATCCTAATGCCGATATTATCAATATGTCACCACCCTGACAAATTGACCATGGTGAGATTCGAATCCAGGTCACATGGCCAGAAAGCAAATGTTTTAGCGACTCAGCTATGCATACATACTTTTTTGACAATAAGGCAGATTGAGCTCTCTAGCCATAATTGGTAACCAGTCTAGGAGAAGGACAAATCTGAATTCAAAACACAGCCACTTGAAGCAGTACAAATATGGTTATGTATGAGATGTAGATGCTATATCTGTAAAGCAAAAACATGATAGATTACAAAAATTATGGATGATCCCACTAATGAGCAGAAATCCTGAATGCTGTTGATGGCAATGGGCTTTGGTCCCAAGGAAGGTTGGATGGAAAGACCAGTAGCAGAGGATAAGGGTAGATCTGTTTGATTTGAGAGATTCAATACCATAGGCAAGTGGAAAGAATTTATTTTGTCATGAATTGATAATCATTCTCTATTAATTCACACATTTCCTTACAGCAATCACAAAGTTTTACAGGACATATTGAAGGCAAATGGAACAGAGGAAAGCAGAGGAAACCTACTTAATGAGCTTGTGTAAATGGTTGTCAGGACATGGATTAGGAGATATAGCAAAATGACAACCTTTACTAAGTGCTACAAAGGACGGGAAATTGTGGAGAGCCATGATCACCCATGTACTGTAGGGACACTCACATAGAAGAAGAAAGAGCTTGTGCAAATGGTTGGCAGAAAAGGGATTAGGAGAGATAGTAAAACAACAAATTTTACTAAGAGCTACAAAATATGGGAAATTGTGGAGAGCCATGATTGCCTATGAAGGAACATGGCACAGAGAAGAAGAAGAAGCTTGTGTAAATGGTTAGCAGAACAGGGATTAAGAGAGATAGCAAAACAACAACATTTACTAAGCTCTACAAAGAACAGGAAATTGTGGAGAGCCATGATCACCCATGTACTGAAGGGATACTCACATAGAAGAAGAAGAAGAAGGAGCTTGTGTAAATAGTTAGCAGAACAAGGATTAGGAGAGATAGTAAAATGATAACATCTACTAAGCCCTAGAAAGGACAGGAAATTGTGTAGAGCCATGATTGCACAGATCCTGAAGGGACATGGAGCATAGAAGTCCATCCATTTTTTTAAAAATTCACTCTCAGATTACTCAGGTTTTTCTGAAACATTGAGCACTTTGCATTGTTGGTATTAGTGTTTACATTTTAGGGCATAAAAGATTTTCTTCTTTCATATACAAGCATATCAAATAATGTTCTTTCATAGAGAGAAGAGAAGAAGAATTGAGAAAAAATAGTTCTAATCAGAGTGGACTTATTTCAAATCCTGCAGACATTGGTGGCTT